CGCTGTCACTCCGCACCCCCTCCCCGCCGCGCCCGGCAGAGGGCAGCACCCACTCCCTCAGCCCCGCCCCGCCCCGCCCCGCCCTCTGTCGGCCTGCCGCCACCCTCTGGGAAACGTAGTCTTTGCTGCTCCTCGGCCAAGCACGCCGGGATTTGTAGTCCGGCTCTATGGGCCCAAGCCTGAGTAGGGAGACTTGGCATTTAACTTGGAATCTTTGTTCCACTTCGTTTCTGCCCCTTTTGTAAGTTTTCTCTCTTTTCTTAGTGATGTCCTGAGCCAGATCTCACTATGATACACCCTGTGGCTTATCTGACCCCAAGGAGAGGCGTACAGCAGGCTTTCTCAGAGTCTAGGAAAGATTTAAGATCCCAGGTGGTGTGCTGTTGCCATAGGGACTACTCAGTGGCCACTTCAGTTTCTCTCCTGGTTTGCAATGGGGTAACGGACCTGGATCTTGCGCTTTTTATCCCTGCCTCTGTACATAAGGGGCAAGGTTGGAGTCAGTCTAGTGGAGGACGGAATGAAAGAAATATGACTGTAGAATGGAGCCCACCTCCCCTCCCATTATGAGTTTTGCATTTATACCTCCTCTCCACCTAGGCCTCATCAGTCTGAGCTTGCTGATACCCCCACCACCGCCATCAAAAATCAGAAGTTTTCTGATCTCTCATATCACCTTTCCCTGTTGGAAGCTACAGGGCGCTGAGCCATCATTCTCTGCTTTGTTCTTTCTCCTCCTCCTATACCACGTTGCCCCAGATTTCTGGCTCTTTTGCTAGGTGGATCCTAAGGAAGACAGGGATGACTCCAGAGAGACAAAATCTCTTGCTCAGTCGATTGGAGCAAGTGGGCTTGATTTCCATGTGATTCAAGTAGCTCTTCCACTTGTCCATGGTTGAGAGCCAGCCCATCTTCCAACACAAGCCCTGGGATTTAGGTGTCTGGGTGAAAATATGATCAGCTTAACTCAGTCCAGGCCTTCAGAAGCCCTCCTGGAAACAGGTTCTGGTGGCATCCACCTCCTCCCTAGAGGACCCATTACTGTTAAAAGTACACATAGGCATCCGAGGCATCTGACATTCTTCAGGGAACTCCTAGTGCAAACCCGATCCCAGAAAAGGAAATAGAGGCCTAGGTTTAGGATGCAGTGGACCTCTAGCCACACTGCTAGTGGACATGCATGGAGTAATTCTGGTGGTAATTTGGTAAGTCAGGTCAGCAGAGCATATCAGATTGTCAGAGTAGGTCCCCTTTGTCCTTCACAAAGAAAAGCCCTGCCTCAATGTCTTCCTTCTCCAGAAAGAAGCTGTGAACAGACTCCAAGTTCTGAGAGGTACAGGGCCCAGCCACAAGCCCTACCTTATGTCTCATTTCTCTTAGAATCTCAGTACCCCACCCAGAAACCTACTAGAAACTCAAAGAGAACATGGTTCGGCAAAGGCAAAATTTCCCCTGACTCCACTTGTTTTTAGAGGGCAGCTGTGGCCTATAAGGCTGCTCCTGATCTCAGGGAGTAGGGAGAGTGGGAGTCAGGGGCAAGTTGGCCAACTTGTTTTTAGAGGGCAGAACTGTTTATTAAGAGAGAAAGTCCAGAGTCCAGAAAAGGAAGGTTAAATTCAGAGAAGAAGCACAGAGAGACACCTGCAAGGCAGGGAACCAAGAGGAAGAAGGAAGTCCGGGCATCGAGGCCTTGAGTCTAGGCAGCAGTGGCGAAGCCCGCTCTGTTTTTGCCCATGTCATACACGGAATAGTAGGACCTAAGGAAGATGTCCCCGAGGATCCACAGGGGCTGGCCGTTCTAGGAGGGCAGGTAGGTGGGCTCGACTCCCACAGTGCAGTAGCCATCATCCTGCACAACACAGAAGAAGGGCAGCATGCATTTATTCGCTCACGTGTGGACAGGGCACTGCTCAGCCCTGAGCCCTGGGCCAGGGGCACAAATGCAGAAATGAGTGAGCCAGGGTCTCCGCCCTTGAGGGGTCACAGGCTAACTAAGCTGCTGGGCTCGACTCCCACAGTGCAGTAGCCATCATCCTCTGTTGGGCCAGGGACACAAATGCAGAAATGAGTGAGCCAGGGTCTCTGCCCTTGAGGGGTCACAGGCTAACTAAGCTGTAGAGCAGAAGCTGGTGGGAAGGAGTTCTGGAATGGCTGTAGTGGCCCTCTTTAGAGTCTCCTCTCCCCTCATTCCCCTGACTTCCTTCCTGTTCCTGATTTGGAGCAGGTCAGCCTGGTGGTCAAGCCTTGAAGCTAGACCAACTTCAAACCTTAGCTTCACCCTGACTAGCTGTGTAGCCTTAGGTGAGTTGCCTAGCCTCTCTGAAACCTCCAAGTGCACTTATAAAATAGAAATTAGTATCTCCCTCACTGAATATTGTGACAATTAAGTGGGATAGTGTAAGCAAAGTGCTTCGCACAGTGGCTGACCCTAGTAAGTGTGCAAGAAAGAGCCCAGTGTCTCTCCCCACTAATTAATAACATAATTGATAATAGATGACACTCTTCTATTTCACAGCCTCATTCCAGAGAAGGGGGTTAGAATCAGTGAGTGGAGAAAGTAAATCAGTGCTGCCAGGAACTGGGAAATGTCACAAGGTGAGGAGGAGGATTTCTGGCTCCCCACACCTTCCTCTCACCCCTAATTATGTCCCTGCTGGCCCAGCCTGCAGGGACCAGGACTTACATTGAGGGTGTAGGGTGGCAGAGGGAACTGCACACCACTGATGATGAAGGTGAAGGTGGGCAGGTTCTGGATGTTGTTACAGTTCACAAGAAACTGCAGAGAGAGGAACAGGGCCCAGGTTACCTCATCTCCCACCTGACAGTACCTGTCAACCCTGTCACCTCAGCCCCTCTGGTCCCAGGCATGAGTCCCAAGACTGCTTTTGAACTGAAGGTGGCAACACTAAGGGCAAGTCGTGTGTTAAATGCCACTGGCATTGCTCATGTGGGCTCACGTACAACGGGTGGGATTTGGGGAGACCTGAGTATCACTCCCACCCCAAAAACAGTACTCTTGCCTGAATTTCCCTCATGAGAGATTGAATCTATGCCCAAATCTCTGCTAAGTTCCTTTGAAAACACACAAGTCTATAGAAAGAGTAGCCCATTGGTCCCCCAAAGGTCGTGGGAATGCATTAATTAGGCAAACCCCTTGCTCAGCTCAGGAGAGAGGGGAGCAGAGGGGCTGGCACGTAGATTAAAGGATTATCCCTTGTTGCTCACAGGCTTGGCCCCACATTCCAGTTGTTTCATTCTTACTTCAAAGCCCAGCAAGTGTTCGGCCTGTTTCCTCTGAGGGGCTGAGGCTCAGAGGAACTTCTACCCAGTAGGAACCTCCCCATAGTCCCTCAACACAAGCATCTGCCCCACTGAATCAGCCTTCAGGCCCCTGCCCCAGTCATCCCGGGGCCTCCCACCTCCAGTGCCTTGAGCATCTAGAAATAGGAAGGCCAAGAATCTGGCTATTCCTGTGCTCCCAGGAGAAACCAATCAATGCCTCCGAGCTGGCCTCTCCTGGGGAGGGAGACACTTCCACCAGACACACCCTCCATACTGGTCCTTCTGGGCCCTCGTGTCCTGCAGAAGGACACTCATGTACTGCCGGGGCACAGTGAGCAGATATGTGCCTGTGTCCACGATGGCCTGGCAGCCTTGGGAGCACTAGCTGGAGGCCTTGCTGCCAATGCTAGTGGTGAAGAGATGAGAAGCCATGGCAACCCCAGCTCAGGGCAGCTAGGGAGTGGGCTTCCCCCTCCTGCATGGTACTCTTAACTGTAAGATTAATGTAAGAGTAGCAACTTAAATTTAAGTAATAATAATATTTCTATCATAGAATTGTCACAAGAATTGAGTAAACATATGTAAATTACTTAGAAAAGTTCTTGGCATATGGTTAAGTAAGCAATAAAATATAGCTATCATTATTAATTCCTCCAGTGTTTCTTTATCCTTTCAGTTCATCCCTGTTTTTATTCAGCTTAATCATTTTAATCATTTCAAAGAAAATTCTGTAAAGATGCCTGGCTCCTTGTTACTCAGTTCTTTCATTATGCCTTTCTTAGAAAAGTCATATTCTGAATGAAAACATATATGTCCACAGAGAAAATCATACAAATATTCAGAAAAACCAGCATCATGATACAGCCAGTGTCACCGATTAACTGAGTTCTCGAGACTCCACAGTAACAATGGGATATATTTCTTTGGCCAACCTCCCACTCTTCCATTCTCCAGAGCAATTATTTAAAACTTTCTTCTTTTCTTCTGATTTCCAAGCCATTTCTGTTCCATTTTTTTATCTTCTGCAGATGTGTGTGTGTGTGTGTGTGTGTGTGTGTGTGTGTGTGACAAAAAGCGCCTCAAGCCTGCTACAAGAAAGTCCCCACATCCCCAAGGCCCCACCACAGACTTACTCCTCAGTGCCATCTGCCAGTAGAGCATCTGGATGACAGGGGCCCAGTAGATCTGTCCCCGGTACAAGCTGTGGTCTGCACCTCCAAAAATGACTGCCCCTTCGTTCTGCAGGAGGCGAAGGGAAAGGTGAGGCAGCGAGTGGCTGTGGAAAAGGACACCCCTGTTGAACAGTCGCCCTCAGAGGAAAACAGATGTCCTGCCCTGGCTCTGGACCGGAGCTCTCTGAGGGCGGGGCTGTGTGTCCCCCCAGACTGGGGCTCCCGGGCTGGGCCCCTCAGAATTCCCAGTGCCTTGGGGTCCTGCCTCTGCGGAAGCTGCTGGTTGTGTGCCCCACCCCGCTGCCCCACATTCCTTTTTCCTTCCCCTTCCACTTCACGATGCTGGAGGAGCCTGATCCAGGGCTCGCTTTTTTATTTAGGGAGAGCCTGGGTAGAGAGGAGGGCAGGACATTCTGTGTTTGTTTGAGAGGCCTCCCCTCGTAGCTGAACTGAGTGCAAAAACTCTGGGGGACTCCTAAAGGCTAAACTCAGAATAATTGCAAACAGAGGTAGCGAGTAAATCAGCAACGTTAGTAACAGGGAAATGTTCAAAGCCAGATACAAGTGATTAAGCCTCAGATAGTAGATGCTATCTCTACAAGGTGGTTGGCTAATTCTGAGAGGAAAGAAGGAAAGTCTATTCCAGGCCACAGGTACCCCCTCCCACCACCTGGCTCCCAGGCCCATCCACATAAATAACTGTGTTTGCTTGTGTTTGTGGTAAGGATAACAACTTGTTAGGAGCTAATGGTGGACTTAGACCAGAAGATTCCAGGACCTGACTAGAACAATAAATTAAAGAACATGACGCAATGGATTACTATACAAAAGGGGCGTCTAGGTGGTAAAAGTGTCACTATGTCAGAAGGAAGTGAGCTAACTGGAGCTCTGGGTAGGAGGTAAACCCAAGAGGAATTGAGAATCAGCAGCAAACTTAAAGCAAAAATCAGCCAGAAGAGGGAGAGATTATGTCACAGATTATGGCTGAGCAATGCAAAGAAAAGTTAGAGTGGGTTAGGGACAGAAGCAAGGATCGGGGAGAGGTGGGAGCGGGGGACTGTCAGAAGCCCAGGAGAGAAAGCCCTGGGACAGAAGTGTCTGGGGCCAAATGCCTGCTGGGAGGCCTCCAAACCCCAAAGTGTGGAGCCTCGATCGGTCAGGGTTTCGGGGGACCGGGTGGCACTGGAAGCTGGATGCCCTCAGGGTTCCTCATTAACTAAGGTAGAAGCTGAAGATAGAGCTGGTGAGGGCCTCCTCCTGCAGCATGCCCCACAGGGCTGTGGTGGCCCCATCCACGGCCAGGGCGGGGTAGGCCATGCCTGTGATGCCATCAAACTGTGTGTAGACAAAATTGGTGCCCAGCTCATTCTCATTCAGACCAAACTCCTGGTTGGGACCTGGATACTCTGGAGTGGGAACAAAGGATGGGAGGTGACGTGTGTAACTTCACCTACCTCCCCCCGACACCCCTCAAGGCTCATTCTTCATCTCGTCTTCACCTCTGTTCCTTTCCTTCTTGACAGGTCTTGCAAAAGCCACTTTCTCTTCTGAGTGGCCTTCTCTAACTGCTGCAGCAGCCTTTCCCCAGTGAGGTGGTCCAATGAGCGAATGAATGAGCCTGTCCTGCACAGTAGAGCATGAGGCGTTTTCCTATAGTTTTCAGGGTCTCTATTTCAGTCTCCTCTTCAGACTCTGAGGCCTGTGAGGTTAGAACCTAGCTCACAGCCCAATCTACAGTCCCCGCGTCCTGGGGTAGGGAGCAGCAGGTAACATCATTCACCGTCAGAGTGTTGTAGCCGAAGAAGCCGGTGAGGCTGCTGCTGCCATACTGCAGGGAGAAAGTCTGTCCGTTGGTAGAGTAGGTGGAGGACTGGCTGGGGTCAAAGTGGTTGTGGGGTCAAAGGATTTGGGAAATTGAGCTGGGCTGCCTGGGCTCTCAGGCCTGTGGGGATTCCCACCTGTCTCCCAGCCTGTGCTCACATCCTGGGACCTCAGTACCCCATGCCACCCATCAGGAGGTGGCTAGCCAAGGTTCCCAGCATCCCAAGGCCCATGGAGCTGGTCAGCGGTTCCAAAGAAGCCGCCTCTGACCGTGGGGAGCCCTAGGACTGTGACCTCCCTGTAGGCAAGTTGCTTAAAATCCATGGCCCCCCAGGAGATTGCCTGGCACACAGTGAGTTCTGAGAAATTACTTATCGGATGAAGGAGCGAATGACCCTCCAAGGTGTCCCTGCTTTGCCTGACCCTTGCCCAACAGTCAGGAAGCTGGCCATACCGGGATCCTGAGATCCCTTAGGGCGGGACCAGTAAGGGACCGTCTGAACTAGAGGGGTCAA